ACAATACCTGGCATGTGGCAGGTCCTTAATATTTGTTGGATGAATGAATACTAGAATGTGCCATTTTATTGTTGTTGTTGTTTTATTTTATTTTATTTTTTGAGACAGGGTCTCACTATGTAGTTCAGACTGCCCTGGAACTCACTGTGTAGCCCAGGCTGGTCTCAAACTCACAATGATTCTCATGCCTCAGCCTCCTGAGTGCTGGGATTACAGGTGTGCACCACCATGCCTGGCTTAGAATGTGCCATTTTTGAGCCTCTGTGCATTGCAATTACATACAGATAAATCCATGGGAACAGTATTACCTCACGCTGAGCTTCCAGCCCACTCTAGGTGTGTCTGTTGTCCCCATTTCAACTCAGTGAGCAGGCACTGCATTATTTCCACTTTACAGATGAGACATGGGAATTTAAAAATGTAGGTAACTTGCCCCCAGTCGCATCACAGCGAGATGCTGTGCTAGGAAGAGGTGGATACTTTTTAGTGTCAGAATATTGAACATTCACACCTGACCATCTTACTTGCAGAAAGACATAGAAAGCAAGCAAGCAAGCAAGCAAAGGGAAAGTGTCCTTCAGCCAATTGACATAATAGAAGGAAGGGGTTACAGGGTCCCTTTAGGATTCATTTTCTCAAGTGTTTGTCTCATTTAAGAGAAAGAGGAACTAAAAGCTGAAATTCCCTAAAGACACAGCTGATTCGCAATCAGAAGTAAAGCTAACCCACAGTTTTACCAGGCATGAATGTTGGGAAATAGGTGCTCCGCCCCTCTGTGTGCATGACAATTAGTAAATCTTCTTGGCGCCCAGAGGTCCTAGTTACTTTCTTCTGGTCTGGACAAAAAAAAGAAAAAGAAAAAGAAAAAAAAAAAATCCACAGCCCAGAGGATAAAGAAAGATAGGCTTATTTGAGTTCACATTTCGGTCCTGACTCCAAGGCTCGGCAGTGTGGCAGAGGGATACAGCACAGTGGCGGAGGCCCAGGGCTGAAGGGAAATTCGACTTTCCAGTGGAGCCCTCCATTGACCTGCCTCTTGGAACCAGGCCCTACCTCCAACAGCAAGTCGGCTCAGCACCCCACATAATCCAGTCACCTTTCCAAAAGTCCTGCCTATGAGGTTTTAGGGGGGCGTCTAGATGTAAATCCTAACATCACATATCTGTGAAGAAACCCAGGTGCCCAAAAGGCCATTGGGCTGGCAGCTGTGATGCCTTATGCTGTGATTCTATGAAACAATGAAGCTCTCTCTCCTTGTGTGTTGTGTGTTTGTAGAAGGGCTGCTTGATCAGTAACATTAGAGGAGGATTCCGGATTGGAGAAACGTCATCTATGCCCACCATCTTTGTCTATTGGGCTTTTACTCTATGTGTATTTTATGCCATGTTTGTTGTATCTATTGTCAAAAGCAAATATCCTTCTGAAGGGAGGTTTTAGGGGACCAGCCTCAGATGTTTCACTCTACAAATAAGGAAAAGAAGGCAAGGCTTGTGACAGCACTGGTTTAGAGCCTTATGCGTCAGGTAACATGAAAAACTTGGTGGAATGGGATAGGAGAGGGCAGCCAAGTCATGGGAAAATGGAGCCAAGGCAAAGCCAACATTTCTCATTTCATTTCTAGACTTGTAGTTTGACGTTGCGATTGTGAGAAAACCCTGAGTGCAACAATCCACTTGTAAGAAGGGGCCGAGTAGGGATGCCAGAGTGGTTGTTTATTAATTTTTCAACCAGCATTTGTGGACTTCAACTTGAGTCCTAGATACTGAGAGAAAGAAAAGGTTCAATGGTTGCTGGCCCAGCCCTGAGCAAACTCCTGGGCTCATGAGGAGGGGACTCTTAGAAGTTCCCAGAAGGAGCTTTCCTGGGCTGGGTGGTCCGGACCAGAGTCTGCACTGTCCCAGAGTTCAACAGGCACGTGCGTCACTCATGGAGGATGGTACGCAGCATGGAGAGCTGGCCTGGTTTGGAGAGGCTTCCTGGGGCCAGACCTGAGGGGCCAGGAGAAGGTAGGAGCGATACAGGGGGAATAGATGTAACTCCCAAACCTGCTAAACATCCAAAGTGCGAGTTCCTGTTCTCTAAAATCGAAGATTTAATTCTAGGAATGATGGAGGTTAAGAGTGTGAAGAATTTGAGAGAAAGAAAGCTTCTGTCTAAGAGAGACAGAAGGGGAACAGGAAGGCGGGTTGCCCACTCACCCAACTTCTCAAAGGTGTTTTATGGAACAAAGCCAGGAGGTGCGGCAGGTTTAAGGTGGGACAAAACTATAGTCAACTGGTAAGATTACAAGTATAGCCTCTTAGGTAATATTGATCCAATGAGAAATCACAAGGTGGCCAAAAACTATGAACAACAACCAAATAAGATTGTAAAAGTATAGCTGCTTAAGTAATATTGATTAAATGGGGACCCAATGGGGAGACAAGTCACATACCAAGCACACGAGGTATGAGCAAGGATTTTGGCAGAAAGGGGTGGGCCAGGGATCTTTATTGGAAGATCTTTGTCCCTCAGCCAGTGATTGATATCTATTTAGATTATCAGCTAATCACTGTTATTCATCCTTAGGGGAAGCACTTGCGGGTGGTAGTTTCTCTCCTTTTACAGCACTGGCTTTCAGTGAATGCGTCTTAATTGTCCTCCATGTTGGCTCCTTGAGGGCAGCCCTGTCCAACTGGCTACAAGATATCTAATTAACTTACCTGTCTACAATAGGAGGACCAGGGGCTAAAGGCAGAGGAGAACTTGGGCTGACTGGAGACTGAAAGCGGCCCAACAGGTGGGTGGTCAGGGAAGTTGGGGAAAGATGCGTCATGGAGGTTGGGAAAAGTAGTTTCATAATTGAAGTCTGACTATAGCTGAGGCCCAAGGTCACCTTGGCCAAGAACTGGCTACGGTATCTAGAAACATAACTCTATTTTGTCTCTGGTTTCACCTGGGGGAAGGACAAATTCTTTATTAGCATGCTAAATCATCCCACCTACTTTTCTAAGAGCTCTCCCTACTACCCTCTTGAAGGTAAGAGCCAAAGGGACCTAAGATCCTCAGCAGAGGATCACCAGCACCACTTAAGTTGCCTGATGCTCCCTCTAATTAATGTGTGCACCCAGTAAATAACAGTGAGCTCTGGGGTGTCTTTGTCTTTGCCCACTCTGAAGCACTGCCCTCCCAGCCCCTCATGTATTACGGAATTACTCAAGTCTCTATGCCTTTCTTTCTTTCCTTCCTTCCTTCCTTCTTTTTTTTTTTTTTTTTTTTTTTTTTTTTTTGGTACCAGGCCCTTGTGCTTGTGAAGCAGGCAGAGGAACCACTGAGCCAAATCCCTGGCCCTATGCTTTCCTTTTCTTTACCCGTCCCCCTTTCTAGGCAGACTCTACATCCCATTGGCTCCTTGCACCTCAGATAGGCATCTCACTTACTACATTTAAACAAAATTCTCCATTCACCCCCCAAACCATATCCACTTTGTCCCCAACCTTGCTATCTCAATACATATCAATACTCTCCTTCCTTGGATCGTTACCCAGAGCAAAAATCTGGGAGTCAGTTTTTGACTCCTCTCCTAACAAATGCCCCACCCACTCATCAGCAAATCCTGTTGCCTCTACTTTCAAACTCCACCCAGAATTCAACTCTTATTGATTGATTGATTGATTTGCCACTTTCATGACGCCTCGTCTCCAGTTTCTGTCGTCACCCTCTGCATTGTATTCTCAACACCAGAAGCAGATTGAGACATCACAGCAAATCAAGGCACATGGTGACCTGAGTGGGTTAAAAATCAAGAATACCGTCCCCCCGAAACAGACAAAAAAAGTTTGTGTCCTGTCCTACAGCACCTCAAATGACCTTGCCTCCTGATCCCTCCTGAACCTGTCTCACCCCTCTCTCCAGTCCAGCTCCCACAACCTCCTTGCTCCAGCACAGGTCAAGGATGGTGCAGCAGGGGGTCCCAGGGGTGGGTTCCCCTGGAGAACAGGATCTGGGCCCATGGGGGTCTGGAAGTGAGCGGAGTTTACATCCACTCTTCCCTCGGCCTGGAGTTCATTTGCCCCATGGGAGTCCTGTGGCCTGACCCTCTCCTGAGGTCTCTGTGGAGAAAGGAGAGACTTCGGAGAAAGCCCATGGATTGTTCAACTTTGCTTGTTTGGTACTGGGGATCGAACTTGGGACCTTGTGCTGGTGAGGCAGGCAGCGGAGCCACTGAGCCAAATCCCTGGCGATTGTTAAACTTTGACTGTGAGTGCAGTGCCGGGGCATTTCAGACCCTGTTCTGACCCCAGAGTGAAGAACTGCATCTCCTCTGCAGCCCGAGAAAGCAGGCAGTGACATTTTCATTTAGTGACCCCTTACCATGTGCTGGGAAGTGTGTTTCACTGTGGGTGACATTAACCCACTTAGTGCTAAAATCGGCACAGCGGGTCCCACCACCACCACCACCAACCCCCGCAGCATATCCGCAGGGCAGCCGGGTTAAACGGTCCCTCTGCCAGGCCTGGATTTGAACCCAGAGCTCAGCCACCGATACACTCAAACTGAAGTTGGGCCATTGGAAGCGGAGGAGACACAGGGCATCTCTTCCCCGCAGCTCAGAGCCCAGCAGCCTGCACAGCTTCCCGGAAGGACGCTCAGTGCCAAGCGCGCATTGACAGCGCTGAGTGTGGGGACACGAGCGTAGCTCAGTCATCCGCAGAGGCTTCCAGGTAGCGGTTCCTCCCCGAGTTGCAGGCCTGGCCCCTGAGGGGGGAACCTCTGCTTGGAGGACTGCTGCGTCTTTTCTGTCCTTTCAACACTTATTGGTCAGCGTCCCACGGAACTTTGAAGCCGGGCGGTGGGGGTGGGAAGCCAGGCGAAGAAAAAGCAACTGAGAGGAGAGGGGCCGGTTCAGCGTCCGGCCGCGCGCTCTCCTCTCCTCCCGCCCAGCCTCCCGCT